AGGAAGTTTGGCGCCGCTGCTGAAGTGCTTAAACTGGTCTGATGATAACATCAAGCATGGATCGAGTAGAAACGTAGCTACCAGAAAGAGGCTAAATTTCAATTGAACCTATAATACGGCTCTTATTTATTGGAAAAACGATGCAAAATCGCCCGATTTATGTGACATTACCGCAGCGTGGCCATATCTCGCTTCAGAGTGACGAATTATGTTGCTCAGTGGGTGCAATGAATAAGCACACTGAGTGACCTACCGTAAGCAGAAATCTGAAACGATTCCTGCCATCTACCGTGCTCAAACAGGCACTCCTATACATCAGAAGATGCTCCGTGCCGAGCTGAGTCGAATGGTACCTTTGGATTGAGAATTCGTCCACTAAGCGAGATATGGCCACGATACGGTAATGTCAATGAATCGGACAACTTTGCATCGTTTTTCAAAATATAAGAGCGGTTTTGTGCCCAGCCATTCATCGATCAGTGTTCTGTGAGCGTTAATGGGTCGGAAAAAACCGGTAAAATTTATGGGAAAATCTGGCCGCTAGTGAACCCTGTTCAGTGCAACTCGGCTGAAGCTGGCCTAAGTTGAACGTAAGACCTCACTCAAGCATCCAGTGAGCTGTTGATCTGGATGCGGATCGCTTCTTAGACCGGTAATCATATGTGTTCGTGACAAAGGAAACACTGGGGCACGTTTGGTCGAACGGGTGGGCGATGGAAATTAAACGCGCGCGGCCATGGCTCGACATCGACTAGCGCGACACTTTTGCTGCATCTTTGATAGCGTCCACTATCGCAAAATCGATAGCAAGTGCATGGATTGAATAAAAACACATTTTTTGACGAAGATTTCATGAAAAAATGAAATGTTTGCAACATGAATTTAGTGAAATAAATCAATAAGCTCTTGTTTTGAGCAGCTAAAAAAGTCAGCAATTTACAAAAAAGAAAAGAATTTGTTCTTTCGTTCCCCAAGCTAACTGCTGTTCATCGATTCTCTCCTTTTCGGGACCCGATATTGTGCAGTTATGCGCCGGTTTTGTCAGTAGTGTTAGTAGTGAAAACTGATGTGTATCGAATGTTTTCTGAGTTTTGTCTTTTCCACACTATTTGCATTAGTTCACGTCTCAACTGAACGTGAACTGTTGGGAGTGGATCAGTGGAATGCTGCAGGTGGACATATGGCCACCTGTCAGCTCACTTCGCATGCTTATAGCATGGGAATGTGGGCGATCGTCGGTCTCACCTGACGGAACCTCAACTGATGGCTTCAGTTCAGACCACCTAAACTGATCGAGCCTTACTACGGGCCTCTATTTTGTGGGCGCTTGCGGGATGTACCTTGTCACCCCAAAAACGAAGCGAATGAAATTTTTGGGAAACTCCTGAAGAACGAGTAAAAAGTGACAAAAGTTAATATTTTTATCCTCTGTTAAAAAATGTTACTGATTGGAACAATAGGCAGGAATCGATTATACAGTTTATAACATTAGTGAGGCTTTCCACTAAGACAGGTATCACCCCATGATTTTTTCGTTCTTCTGGTAGTTTTGAAATGAACGAAATGAATGAAAATATAAGTCGCGCGCTTTTTTACATTTGTTCTCTAACAGATTCTTCTACTCTGCGAGCAACTTATGGCTTTTTCCAAAGTTCCGTGAATGTATGCGCCAAATTTGAAAAAGCCAGCGGAGCAAGGTTAAATTGTCCAAAGACCACATACGAACATATGGAGCAGCCGGATATGAGCTGAAATGTAAGGTAGTCGAAAAGTAGTGAGCATTTCCTTTATTCGCAAGAATACGAAATGCTTATAGCAAATGAAATCAATGTAACTACATAGCCGTTCTATCTATTAGGTTGCCCATAAGTCTTTTCATTTTTGAGTTTTCGGTATAATAAGTCACACACTTCTCATTCTGAATAGACATCAGGATACCATTCGATGGGGCAAAGCAAGCTCTATAAGATGGTGTTTACGCTTTTGCACAAGCTTTAGTCTATCTCGAGTTTTAAACCAAAATCTAAAAAGTTTCGGATGGCCAGAAAACCGAAATTTTTTTATATCTTCGTTCAAAAAAATCCTACAAACCTCAAACTTGCTCACGTATATACATTCCACATAAGACATTCATATGTGCTCTTGCTGCATTTTTTTATCAGCTAGAAATCAAGAAACCGAAAATTTTCCTGTTTTTACCAAAGTGATGCTGTGCTGTTCTTACACTGACAGTTGTATACTACAAGCCCTTAGAAGTACAACTGTATTTTTTTAGCTCTATACAAGCTCTGGTTCGCGAGAAATGTTGATGTAAGCGTGAAAAACCCAAATGCAGAAAGCTAAATCTAATATTTCTCGTGAACCAGAGCATATAGAGAGCCAAAAGTCTACGGTAGTACTTCTAAGGGCATCTAGTATACAAGAGTATATAGCGAAAACTCAGAAATGAAAAGACTTATGGGACAACCTAATATTTTCCGGCCATCATTTTTGCGCAAAGAAAATAAGATAATTTTTGTGGTAATCATCTAATGGAGCTTTCCCCCATATAATCGTATGCGCCTGAGCTTGCTTTTCATTCTCATTTTAAGCTCCAGATAAATGAATTTTCCTACATTGAAACGAATATTCATTGGCTTGTCAGTAAAAGCGAAACTTTTCAACTGTTAATCAGAAAAGCTCTGCAGGTTTTTTGCCATGCCTACTTGAATCATCCTTGGTGGCAATACAAATTAGGCAAAAAAATGTGAAGATTTTTTGAGCACGAAATGAAGATGATGAGCGGGGGGGGGGGGAGGAGAGAGCAAAATGATACTGCGTTAGTGCTCCAGGCGCTATGGAGGAGAACAGTAAACCCTCACTTTTATCTTAACAAATTACGGGTGAAATTGTCTTCGCTTATATTCAACTATGCCTTTGTGCTTCTTCTCCTTTTTTTAAGAAGATAATGTGAGTCACATTTATCATTCATCCCACGCACAGGTGGCGTTGTAGGCGAAAACCTAGAAACACAGCCACATTCTTGTGTAACAATAAGACTGCAATCGAAAGGTCTTGCTGGAATATTTTCTTGTATCGTTTGAAATGTTCAAGCTGCAGCTTTGCTCATACTCTTAAGCTCGTGAATTATCACCATAACAAGAGCAGTATTTTTGACGAAGCTGGATTCATATTTGCAATTTTTGAAGTTTTTGGATGTGAGGGAGTTTATATGCCCCACCCCCTAATTCTCTGATAAATCTTGTGAGCTTCCACATTTGAACAAATCATTTTTGATACTGAAATTTTCAGACCTTTCGCAACATAAATGTTTTCCTCGAGGTCGCTGCGTGTAATGCGAGAACAATTTCCCATTTGACAAAAACGGTAGATAATAGAATTTCTTATGGAGCTTCACGCTACAATCCATTGACTACAATTTCCATTGTAGTTTGACCTCTTTTTCGATGTGAAACTGTTTATTATGTTGTTCGAGTGCAATATTTCTTGAACATTTCGATCCGATGGAAAACTTTGAATATCTCAAAATACGGTAATAGTAAAGCATCCTTGTTTTTTTTTGTGTCTGGCATTATATAAAAATCTGGCTGCAAGTTGGAGATAAGTCCAAGAAATGTGCTTACTGATTCCAATTTTTTATTGGAGCTAATTTTGAACCAAAGCAGGAACTGGTAAAAATTCGTGCTCTGATGTCTTATCAATCTTTATGATAAATCTGCGCGAGTATACACTTTTCAGGGGAACGGAAAAAACTGTATGAACTTGTTTAAAGCATATCAGCTTGAGGTTAAAAAACTGATGCTACCTACCAAACCTAGGCTACAATTTTTCGGAAGGAAGTTTTTGTTTTTTTCTGTAATTACGTCGATAAAAAAAAACCATAACTTACTTTCCAATCACAATAGTGAGTTTGAGACTTACACGTCAATATGGCGTCACCATATTGACGTATTGCATTGGCTTTTTGGATATCTTCTCATGGCTTTCGCTTATATTGTATGTCTCGGTCTCTATCCGACAGGCTCGAATGATTCGGACGAAGAGATTCTATGCTAATGCGCTCGATGGATCGTTTCTCTTTTCCATTTTAGCAAGCTTTCTTTTACCTCTTGTGGATATCGCAAGCTAATTGAAAATGCAATCACTTCGAATCTAGACTCACATCTTTTTTTTGTGCATGCGGCTTTGATAATGAGCTTTATAGATATGGGCAGAAGCCCTGCATCATCCTTTCCTCTGTTTGTGAAAATCCAGTGTAATATAAGGCGCTCTTGACAAAAAAATGTTTCATTCTTGAGCTTGGAATAGTCAATTTAACTCAGCCATTCTAAACAAGCTATATATCATCGGACTCGCTTTACAATGCTGATCTCAAATATATGTTTTTCATTTGCCGGACGACTTTCTGGGAGGAATTATGAGCGTCTAAATTTGCGATTTGTCGAGTATTCTGTAACGCATATTCCACGAAACGCGTTGCAACTACATTTATCTAGGTTTTTGGTAAATGTGCTTCTTGTTTGTAATCAGAATACCCATAGCCGCTGTAAATCCGCGCCTTCTGGATGCATTTCAACGAAATATAGTCGTTGAAATTCGAATAATTCCTCATATTCGAGCGCTCATAAATCCTTCGAAATAGTCGTTCTGCAGATAATAAGCAAAGTACAAATCAGCAATTCAAAGCTATTCCGATGATATACAGCTTGTTTGGAATGGCTGGGTTAATTTCCGACTATTCCCTTTTTAGCATTCTCTCATTCCAAGCTTATTGGGTGCAATTTCTCATTCTAATCACAATAAGGCAACATCAGGGGCATTCATGCATAATTCTGTTGATTAAGCCATTATCTTGGTCCTTCGTCTAATTAAGCGAATTTTTGCTCGTTCTCATTTCGCGCCTAGAATGCAAATTAGTTCATCAGCCAGGATCATTGGTTTTCTGTTTGTGCTCGTTATGTTAGAGGTTATATTTCTTACAATTTCTATTTTCGAATTCTAGAAAATTACACGTTGGCATCGCATTCTCATGCGCACACGTCAGTCAAGTGAGTACAGCCTCAAACCACCACACACAGACATTGACGCTGCCTGGGCACAGAAGCTTACGAGGTAATTACTATAACAACGACCATATTATTCATTTTCTTTATTTAAATGATTCTTTACTTGCCCATTCCAATAAGCTTGAAGGCAGTAGTCAATACCAGCACTCCAAAAGAAAAGAGAAACATGAAAATAGAAAAAGCAGCCATAAACCATCCGACATTTGGGCCTTGTTCTCAATAGTAGTCGTGCGAAATGTTATGTTCTAGCACTAAAAATAGTTCCATTCTGATAGAAAGCAGTCATTGGATATCTATTTCAATTTTTTCATATTTCTATCAAATAAGGAATAGCATAACGATTGGATCGTCACCTTTGATAACGTTTAAAATTTCTTCGGGATGTCTTCAACTTTATCAGACTAAATATGTGAGTATAAAATGTGCTATCAGTCTTATTTGTGACAGTGTATATATATGAAATAATTTTTTTGTTAGCTTTTCTTATTATCTTTGTTTCGGCAGCATTGAGTATTTATGGCCTCACTTGTTTTACAGTTCACTCAAAAAATAGTGGCAATGGCACGACCGCGCCCGACACGCACGCACTTGGCATCCGCATTTCCTTGGTTTTCATCTCCATTTGAATGGTTTTTCTCCTTACATATGACAGCATTAAGACTTTGGAAGTGACTGAGCTGAGAGTCGAGATGATTTTTTTTGTATGAATGTTTTCTGCTTCTGTGAGCGCAAAGATCGCTGTCAAATCCGTCGTCACGTTTTATAAACGACCTAAAGGTAGTTTTCTTTTTGGCTACAAGATGAACTGCGAACTTAGAATTCTTTTCTGGCAGCACAGTTGTGAGTAAATGGTTTAGTTATCCAAATGCTTTGCAGATCTCAAAAAAGGAAAGAAATCGCGAAAGCGCCGAAACGTTGGCCGTCAATAAAGAAACTGTAACAGTCTTGGAGCACCGCTCACAAGCACTATCTACAGAAATGCACTGCATATATCATATAATTTTAGCATCAGAATGGATTAGTTGGAAAATGTCCCCCACCAAAGCCGTCCCTTTTTTTTCACGTTCCCCTGAGTGCATTGCGTTTATTTATAGAGCGAGAGTAATTAGAAGTTTGCTGTTTTTTCTGAAGCTTCTAGCTAAATTTGGCCTTATCCGAAATCGTTTTGTTATGGCAGAAACTATGACGACGCGTGTTTGCGCGGACTTTTTGCGTATTTCAAATTTCCTTATGGATGTCAGTGTCACTTGATGTCCTGAATTTGGCCCTACCTCCCCAGAAATGCCTGCAACTCAACCATATCTAAAGCCCGAGCCATTCAAATTGTAAAAATACAGTTTTTTCAAATATCCGCCATGTAGACATATATCCCTAACTTCGCTTTTTTTTCTTGCTTTGGCTTTGCATCAAACAAGCATGGCTTGTTCTTCTCACCTATCATTTTTGATCCATCATGACAGCTGAAGGTCTAGCAATACTTCTCCCCGTTCTTTTGGAGATTCAAATTAACTCGGAGTTCTCACATATGGGAATAGGCTTCCCAGCGTGCAGTCATGTCTCATTATCAGAAGAAACTTCTCGAAGATGGATAGATGACTGCTTATGGGTGAATTTCTAGCGCTGTCAGTTGCAGCTTGTATGAGTGGTGTCTCTCAATCCGAAAAATTTCCTTCTAGGTCAATAAATATTTTATGCTTACACTGTATTCCTTATCACTTCCTAGTTTAGCAATTCCTTAACTCTAGCTGAAATTTGCATATCTTTGCAAATCTCAGTCCTATATCGAATAACGTCTCGAGCTAAGCGTTTTTCCTCGTTATCATATTTCGTTTCATAAGAAGCTTTCCTTGAATAAAATATTAGAAATGCGGATCAGTGATATATATTGTATTTCAATCCCATCTAAGAACAGATTCTTGATATTTTGGTCTTAACATCCAGTTTTTCTTTTTCCCAAGAAGATTATTTTCTCTTCCCACCGGGAGCGTTTTTTTTTTCGAACTCAAGCAGCTGAATAGCAACCCTTCCATGTCCTTTCATTCTGTTTGCCAAGTTTTTGTTTTTTTTAAAAAGAGAGTGAACAATTTTTGTGCTTTATAGATTTTATATTCTTTTCCCTGGAGACATAAAGCGGCACCTTCTATCGGAGAATCTTCTCTATTTGAATTTAGAAAATCAGAAGCTTCTTAAAATTTTACTTTGAGCTTTCTTAAGAAACTACTAATGCATGAAGCATTCATATGATAAACATGGTAGTATTGAGAAACAGAGACACTAAATTTGTATAGAGAAAGTCATGGTATTTAGTTATTCAGCTGCCTTCCTTGACGGTTTGCACTCCTCTCGACCATTTCTTACAATTCTAGAAATATGAGCAGATGAAAGAGAAAAGGACGGGGAAATCTGAGTGTTTTCGCAAAAATTTGCGAGAATACGCCCATGATGTCAGTCTTCTGAATGATGAATGTTCTCTTTATGGAGTATATCCCCTCAGCCACCCCTTCACATATCACACATATGGTTCTCTTACCTCGCAGAATTCTCCATTAGAAAAGAGAAGCACTCAGAAAATCATTTGTTTCGCTAATAATCTTAGTGTTCATTTTTCGTGCTTATATTCCTTCCTGCCCATTAGCCACCACTCTCACTCAGGGGTCGAAACAAGGTGGCTTTCCGAAAATAGAAAAAAACGCTATTTCATTCTCGCAGAATTTTACAAAGTTCCCTTCGACCCTAAACGTAAAAAACCCTAAGGAAACGAAACGTCGACAAAAAAACGTCGCAATTTTTGTGTCTTTTCGGCCACAAAAATGATATCCCAGCTTTTTGTCCCAAAAACGATATCCAGCTTGCTTATAAGCCACCTGGACCGAGCCCTGCTCGTACTCCACTATAATTAGGTAAATATAATGGGAGGCTCGACATGCAGAGTTAATTGCTGTACTCTGACAATTTTTGAAAAATGCTTTGGTTCGATTTCAAAATTGCGCTTGTAGCATTGCACTACATACTTCAGTGGAGTTGCAAGACATCGTTAAACGCTGCGACCTAATAGTGCTGGAGAACTTGGGTTCTTTACTTATTCATTCACATATAATAATTTCTGATGCATTTTGAGAGATTCTACAACGTAACCTCGTATTAGCATTGAATATTCGTGAAGGAACCATTTGAGAGTGAGAGTACATGAAATCAATGGTTCTGAATGTCTGCTGAGTTTTATTTCATCTGAACTATCTTTACATTTCATGAGATTTAATAGCGAGCGCTAAAGCTTTTGCATTGAAGCTTGTCTAGATGAAATTTTGGATGCCTTCCTGAGCCATATTCAGTCCATAAAGTTCATGGGTAATAAAAACTAGCAAAATTTTGGTGAAAGAGCTTAAGTTTTTTGTCGGTCCCAGCTTCGACTGTTGGGATCCTCAGCGGATGCAGCTAAACTATACGTCTGACCCGCTCGCTTTTGTTCGGTAATGATGAAAATTCATTATTCTCGTCGACGGCTATCGTGGTTTTTTTCATTGAATGTTGGCGACAATTTACTGCCAAACACGCATCCATGACTGAGAAATTGCTTCCGTTGGCTTTTGAGCAGTGTTGCGAACCACATGAAACATTTTAAGAGCTAGCAATTTTCGTCTTCCCACTGTTTTCATTTTTCTTGATTTTACGAGGATATTCGTAGACTCTTTTGCGAACTGAATAACTATTGAAAGTCATTTGAATTTTGCCCTCGTTTTTGACGAGGCATGCACTTTGCCGGTATGTAAAATTCTTCTTGACTTTCTTATTGCTAAAGGGTTGAAGAACAAAAATAACCCCTGATTTTTTCCAACTACTCGTATGTCTCCTGAGCTGTTGAAATAAGCACTTATGCAGTCTATAATTCTTTTACAAAAACGGCTTGATAGCTATTCAAATTTTGAAAAATGGACATGCGATGTTCACCGAATGGCTGTCATTGGCTTGAATCTGCGTTTGGTTAGAGCATAAGAAACCAAAAATGTTTTCCCTCGCTTTGAACAACGTTATGTTTCATTTTTAATCCATATTTCTCAGGTCAACACAGCCTACAATTTTGACCTCACTTTGCCCACAGTGGACACTATGTGTACTCTACAGGGTGTGCCAAAAGTATTTATACACTGTTTATTCGTTAACATCTCTCTCCTCAAGAAGTCTTTTGCCTACTTTTAGATACCATTCTGTAGAACTGGTTTCAACTTAGATTCACAGCATGGAGCGAATCACCGATCGCTCTTCAGCACTGTAGAATGACGGCAGGAACTTCTAGCTTCTAGCTGTAATTTATCGTGAATCTGAAAAGTAGTTCACGCTCCGATTTCATTATTCAACTTTTTAAGAGTTTGTAAAGCTTTTTAAATGGTCAATTACAATTTCATAGAGCATTGTAGAAACAGCTATTGCTTATCTGGCGTAACTAGTAAGGAAGCATCGCGGCAAACTGTAAAGCGCGTCTTTGGCTTGGGCGGCTCTAGCTAGTCTAGTGTAGGATTTTTGCTTAACTTTGGAGGAGAAATAGGGGCCTCAAGCGCATAAAACCCCTATCGAAGTTCCTACCGTAATCCTACATTAACGAAGAGCGATCGGTGATTCGCTCAACACCCTAAATTTAAGTTGAATCCAGCCCTACAGGGTGGTACCTAAAACTAGGCAAAAGACTTTTTGAGGAGAGGGATACTAACGATCAAACACTGTATACATACTTTTGAGACATCCTGTATGTAAGCACCATTCATTTACGTGATTTATTGTATCAAATCAAATTACAGCGAATATCTGGAGCATTTTCGCACTCTGCTGCCATTTTTAGTTTGAAACGCCTATGAGTCGCGATTATGGACGTTTGCATATCGATATTTCATAAATACTCAACTTCCATGTATGCTATATCGAACTCATATCCATGCAGTGAAAATGTAGCATTCGAGAGAGGAATATTTTTGCAAAAGCTTCGAAATCAACGGCAAGTCTTCAATGATTTGCATTCAAAATCACCAAAGAATTCCTACAAACATTGAGGAA